GACATTTGAAGCGATTCCGATGAAATGCGAGAAAGGGCTCGGAGGTTTGAGGCTTGATTGATTTACAGAATGTCTGGTTTCTACGAACTTTTTTGAAATACTGGATTTGAATGACATTTGAAGCGACCCATTCCAAATGACAAAATATGACGTCACACGTCGGAGTTTGCACCACATTCGTACCTCACCTGACTTCAACGTCTCCGTGCATGGAATTGCCAAGTACTTAGCAGAATTGGTACGCCATTTCCGCTGAGACCGTTTTTGTTTCTCGGTAAAACAAAAGGAACGCAAGAGCAAGCCGGCGATTCCGATGAAATGCGAGAAAGGACTCGGAGGTTTGAGGCTTGCTGTGATTCTGTGGCTTGGCAGGCGCCCGCTATGCTCGTGTTTTCTAATACCCAAGACGCACCTGGCTTATTACACAAGTTTATCCCTGCCCTCAACGCCTCCCTAATGTCCTGGTCTACCGCTATACAATTACTTCTCTTATTATAGAGTCGCCTCTCTCTGCACGTACTTAATCCTTCATGTCAACAAAAAGTGAGGCGGCCTTTAATTCAGCTGCAGATGAATGTTCATACGAACCCGGCATTATTTGACCCTGTACGATACTTTTTTTTTTTTTTTTTTTTAAACAACACTCTTACTGGGTTACTAAAGGGGCTGCGAGAGGAGATTGTGAAATTTGGTTCAAAAGAAATTCATTTTTTCAGCCAGGTTTCTAGGTCAGGTAATGAGTGGAATGCAATCAAATAAAACACGAGTTGTCCTCATACTGTACAGGAACAGCTGTCATCGGGTTATTACGTGTTATTGAAATGTTCCCTTTAGAAAAAGAAAAAAAAAGTTAATGTGACAGCGAAAAAAAAAAAAGAGTTCTTTTAGAAAACTAGACCAATACATTTGTATTGCAAACAAAATGCAAGCAAAAAGGATATTGGGCATCCTGCCCAGGAAAAAAAAAAAATCTGTTATTCTATAGTTTAAACCCCAAATTACCCTCGCTACCATTTAAACACATTCTAGACACAAACCTCAAAACCCAAAAGTGTTCCGTTACGGTCACCGGGAGTGATGGTTGAGTGTGCTACATTTCCCTGCTGTATTGCACAATAAAACAAAGCGTTTGATAAAATATTACAAACAATACATGGTTGGATTTGTGTGCCACGACATACTGGGGGAATTGTTGTCTTCTGTATAGCCTTCTTTGTTTAAAAAAAAAAAAAAAAATCCCAGCAAAGTGCATAACAGGATTTTTCCACCCCCCACTGGCTGCTGTTATTGTCCACTTGCGTTGGGGTCAAGCGCGAGCACAGACCAACCATATCCAGCAGATGGTTCTTGCAAAAGGTGTCGCGCCGATGACTCAACAACTCCTCGCCACCCCAGTGATGGAATCAGATGGCTGAAATGTATCACGAGGGGGGGAGCAGTGCCACCTTGTGAATATTCAAAAATGTCAGCGTGCCATAAAAGAACCTGGTAAGTGCATTAAGCTTGCGAAGCAAACAAGACCAACAAGCTCAGCTCTCCCTGTCTGAGGTTAGTGAGATGATGGATTGCGAGAGTCACGAAGCGCTTCCTGCATCTTGAGAGTTTTTGTTTTTTGTTTTTTTTTTTTAAATACAGTAGTAGATATCTGCAGCATATGAAGCGAGTGCAGAAAAACAGCAAGGCTTGTAATTAGCATTCTTGAAACCGCTTTGGTTTTAGTTTTAGATTTTTTTTTTTCATTATTCTTAGATCAAATGAACAGCCACGCCAGGGGTTCAGCAAACTACAAAAAAAATAAATAAATAAAAGCCAAATGTTGCAGCATCTTCGATGCATGCTTGGTCATTTAAAACATCTACATCACACGTAATACATAACGTGGCTTCCACGAATGCTAACCAATTGTGGAACCGACAAGCTAATTTAGCAACCACAATTTACAATAGTCGCTCCCCACCAAAAAAAAGTCACAGGCAACACGACCGCACCTTCAAAAACACCATTCAGAAATTCATTTCAGTGGATTTCATTGTAAAACTTGACACGCGTTTCACAAAAAGGTCCCGTTCAACAAGCAGTGACCAAATTACCCAGAAGGCCTCTCGCTACGGCCGCGGAGGTCTTGAAACATTTCTTTTTTTCACACCTCCTGCCTAAAACAACAGAGCAGCGTGGATTCACGGAACCCAAGCCAACTCCAACATACGCCGTGCGCAAACTTACACAGAAGTATTTGACTCTTGAAAGCCTCTCGGCGCTCGGCCTGTAAAAATTCTGATGTCAGCAAAATGCATTATTAGCCAGGAAGAGCCACACGCTTTGGAACAACATATTGTCGGCCAAACCGACGTCTATGAAAACGGGGGGGCAGCGTGAGGTTAAACGCACCGCTAAAGAGGTGCGGGGCAGCGAACTCCAATTTGGCCAGAAATAATATGATATCATGCGCATTCATGTCGGCTAAGAGAGACTTTGAGCGCTTGACGTGTGCGTGTGTCAGTTGAACTGGAGTGGAAATAGGAAATAGTGAGCCGGGGCGGGCCCCCCTCACGCTTGAAGGATAAACAGCTGAGATGTAAATTCCCAGTGAAAGGACAAACGGCGCAGAACCGGCGCGGAGGCATTTCCAGGGCCCTCAAAAGCAGGGACATCAAATTCTCAGCGGGTGACAGCGGATTGTTTAGTTAGCAACCAAATCCCAACAACTGTCTGAACTGTCAACGGCTCCACAGGAGTCACTCTGAGCTGATTTGACTCTGATGTGTTGGCTACTCTGCAAAATCAACAGGAGTCTTCGCTTGACTCAAAACAATAAAGACCTCTGATAATTTGAGCGATCGTTCAATCTTTGATTTCAACTTTTCTGACCGTCTTGTGCTAGGAGAGAAATTGCTTGCTTTTGTACAGTGGCAATAATATGCAAAACACTCACCAGCAAAAAGAGTCAGAAACCCAGATTAGCAAAATTTTAAGATGAACATTTTATGATCTAAAAGACAAGTTTGTTTCTGAAGCATGATGGGGGTCATGTCAAGAGCTTCCATGCCTCGCATGATCTCCAACATTCAACAAGACAATGACCCAAAAAACACTTACGACACACAACTTCATCACGAGGGAAAAGCAGAACGTCTTCGATTGTCCAATTAACCTCCTGAAGAGGAGCCCGAAGGGAGAAACCCCACGAAACAAAGAAGAACTGATTGAGGCTGTAGTAAAGGCCTGGAAAAGATCCCACAAGCATAATTATGCTCGCAACTGAACACTCCAGAAGAACAAAAAAGCACAATGCAGCAGGTATTATGACAAGAGACCAATTTTTGCTCACTAACAAGTAACAATCCAGACATTGGTATGTAATCTGCAGAGGAAAAAAAAAAAAAAAACATCCCCCAAACTCATTGCCCATACATTTGGATGGATGCCGCTAGTTGGGTTACACCATGCAGGCTTAATCTTCAAAGTCAATATTTAGCTCGAGCTAAGTCAGCAGTCAAAAAAATGGAATGAAAAGACATCCAGTCTAGCACATTAAAGAGGCCGAAAGATTTAAAACGGTTCCAAATCCCCAAAAATAAACAATGGTGGGAAATGGGTTAAGACTTATGATGTGAGCAGGGAACTGACTCTAAACAACTCCGATTCAAAAAAATGAGGAAATTCCGTACACTTGTGAGCGATTTGTGAGGTATGCACACACAATCGACAGCAAAAATAGACTTTGACATCAGTCCTCGGGATTGACAAGTCCAGGAAAGTAACACTTAAGACTTTTTTTTTAAGGCCACTTTGGGTACATTTTAACACCTCACGCTCATTAAATATGACCATTAAGAAAGAAAAATCATCATTTGAGAAATTTGATCTCATCAGAGCAAGTGTGTGCGCGAGTGTACCTAAAAGCGTGTCCAATGTCGTAAAAATGAAACACCTGTGCTGCTATGACTTGCTGTGATGTTGTCATGTTGGTCCTCATATCCCCTCTGACGGAAGATGAAACGTTACCAGACTGAACAAAAGGGGTCGTTGCAAAATTGGAGGACATGATGACCAACTTGCATACCAATTTTAACCGATAAAATAAGACTTTTTTTTTTTTTTTTTTGGTCTGTGTGTGAGAGACATGATTTTGTCTCTTCCCTGTAATTATTGAAACATTTTGTTTTCTTGCCGACAATATTTTAGCAGTAATTACGCTATTAAGTTGTGTAATCATCATACAAGCAACCCTGGCAATAAAAACATCAGACATCGAGAGTAAGACAAAAAATAAAATAAAAAATAGGGAATCATGTGACTCAGCAGAAGTAACACTTAAGACTTGTTTTTTAAAGGCCACTTTGGGTACATTTTAACACCTCACGCTCATTAAATATGACCATTAAGAAAGAACAATCATCATTTGAGATATTTGATCTCATCAGAGCAAGTGTGTGCGAGTGTACCTAAAAGTGTGTCCAGCTTATAGCTGCACCAAGCCAAGTCCCCTATTGAAATTTTTGTATAATTATTTTTTAAATATTTTTTGCCATAACGGAAATGAAAATAAATGGAATACTTTTCATTGGCTTTGGATTTTGAAACAAGTTATCCATCAATTTGTTGTTTATATGTAATGAGAGGAGATGACGAGTCAGTTATGGTTTCAAAGTCATAACAGCCTTCAGAGGAAAACCAGAACAACAAACAACACAAATGAGACTGACATCCCTGCGGTAAGCAGAGAATCCTACAATTGAATCAAGATGTAATTAAAATCTAACTTTCTTTTTTTTTTTTAAAGGATGTATTCAGCAATATTTTTAAATGTATGTTTTTCAGCTGCTTGGGTCTACTGTATGTAACAAGGTTGAACCAAAATATATGAAATGATGAATAAAATGTCATGAAAAGTGGGGATGGGTGAATCAAATTATATGACGTAATCGTTTTTTCTTGAGACTATTAATTCTGAAGGGATCGATCTATATGAAACATTGTTATGAAATGTTGACGCATACCTGGTAATAGTCAAAGAGCTGCAGCGCAATGCTGTCCATGTGCACTAAACACTGGTGGAGCCTCCAGAGTTGCTCCCCCGGCGGCTGCACACCCTCCAGCCTCAACAGCCGAGCTCGCTGCGCCCAAGTGGATCTTCTCTCCTCCAGGGCGTCAGTCAGCGCGAGCAGCTGATCCACGCAGTCCGCCCTCGAGGCGTCCTCGCCGGGTAGAGGCTGCCCACTTCCCCGCTGGCACCTCCGGATGGTCCCCGGTTGCCTTTTCGTCTGCGGTTCCATCCTTTCATCCGGGTAAGACTCTGAGCGGTTTTGTCGGCAAAATGTGGAGCATTCGGCGCACATAGTTTGTAGTTTTGCCTCGAAGCTTTCACTCAGGAAAAAGTTCGAGCTTTTACTCAGGAAAAAAAGTTTGGGCACACTGGAAGGTTCGAAAGTGTTCGCACTCCAGCCTAAGGAGGGAGGTTTGTGACGTCATTGCATTGACTCACCTTTCACCACCCCGCTGCTCCTCCGCTTTTTGTTCGTCTTTTAATAAATCGACATCATTTTTGTTGTAACGTCGTTAACATCACATCATTTGAATATATGGAATTCGACTTGATTTACGGTAAACTGGCCGTTGAACTCGTAGTGTACTAGAACAGTAAGGTTGAGCGTAGACCAACACAGGTCATTTAAAAAAAATGGCAGCAAGGGCCCGAGAGAACAGCTGAAATTTATTTGAGGTTAATTTGAGACACGTTCAATGGTCGCAAGTGTGTGTTGACTCCCATTAAACAAGTGTTTACATGTGATTGGTTCATTTTGAACACAGCAACACGTCCCATTTATAAGAGGATGTGCATACTTGTGCAACCACGCCATCTATTTTTTTTACTTTGCAGCTTGAAGATTTTTTTTCCAAATTGATTTGGACAGGCTAAAGGTGGACACAGTTTTGAAATGTTTTATGTTGGTTTTATTTGATTTTTTTATAGGGTGTGTGTGTAGACTTTTCATATCGACTGTACTGGGGTTTAACTGTCCCACATAAACCATGCACTTTTAAAATGGATGGATGGGTGGTTGGATAAATTCATGGACAGATGGATTGGATTGGAATTTTCATGCTGTATACTGTCTCCTCTGTTCATTTCCTCATCCAAATGATCTCCGATTATTGGTTGTGAAGGCCGGTTTGATCACAGCCTTCACTTCCTGACACTTTTTGACGTATTGCACACATCTCTGGGGTGTGGGCTCACATTTCTGGTGTCTGGCTTCTGTTTCACATGTGGCGCTCACCACTTTGAAAAGCGCACATCTGTCTGGAACAACAGATACACGGATAACGCAGAAAGGTCGCTCACGTCATATGAAAGTATGGAGTCCAGTAGTTTGATATTTGATGCACTTTTTTTTTTTTTTTACTCTCCTCCAAATAAACTCTTGAAATGAACATAAGGCATATTATTTATTTATTTTTACATGTTTTCAAGATTGTATAATTTTCATTCTTACATAAGTATTTCTGGATAATGTTCGAATTTTTAAATCTTTTAAAAATGTTATTCATAGCCATAATTTTAAAACAAAGTACCATATTTTTAAATACTGTACTCGATTTTTACAAATAATAATTTGTTTGGACCAATAACTATTTGGTGTTCTCTGGTCAAATTGATGTTTTTTTCCTATGGTTTTATTTTTGTGCTGTCTTTGTAATGCTCTTCATTCATTTTAATGTATTGCTGGTTGGACTTGATGCATGAGGATCAGTGCCATCATAAATCTTCTTTTCTTCTGCTGGACACCTGATAGGAGACCAAAATCCAGCAGATGTTTTTGCTTAAAATGGCATGGACATTTTGACAGATTGATGAAATGCATCTTAAATTCGTTGGAGTGTAATCATCATCATCCACGCTTGAACTGAGCGAAGAAAAGTTGGTCATTCGAGCCAAATCATGAATGATAGACTCAGTTATATTTTGAATGTATTTTTTTGATATGACAAAATCTGCTCTAGATTTCAAGGCAGTAAAGACATGAAGATTGTTTTTGTTTTGGGCTTGAAGCACAACAGACAAAACTGATTCGGGTGTTAGAGAAAATCTGAGATCAGTTTTGGATATTACGTATCCCAAAAAATAATTAAACACAGCCGTTGGGAATTTCTCCATTGTGAGACAAAGTTTTATCTTCTTATCTTATCAAAGCTAATTTAACAAAAATTGTGCTCCCCAGTGTACTTGATAAGGGCGTTTTGTCTTTCAATTGTGATAAAAATGTGTCTCATTTAAATCAAATATTGTTCAAAAACATACTTTCTTGAACATGGCATCCAGAGGTGGCAAATCCAAGTCCAGAACGTAAAAACCCTGCCACGGAATGGTTCTACTCAAGCAGTGCGGAGCGGCGCCGAAAACGGGGCTTTAGAAACTTGATGTTTGCCAGACGGCCCGCAGAGTTCATCCATTTTAACAAAGTGTTGTCCGTGTTTCCTTTGAAGCATTGATGTCATAGTATCGGAGCATTCTTTTGATCCAAGTTAAAGTACAGATATACACTATTGTCTTTTTGATGAAAAGCATAACCACCATGAAGCTTAATTCATTAGTAGTCATAGTAAATTGTTTCCCCAGGTATCGGTCAGCTAAATTGCGTTAGTTAACGTGGCTTACCCGTCTTAGTTGGTTTTGTAGAAACGGATGAAGTTCGATGTGTCCCTTAACATTTTGTTGCAAAGCCCGCATATTGCCATGTTCTTTTTCTATTTAACAAAATCCTTTAATCCAAATCCAAATGTGACCATTTTTCGGAGTTCCAAAAACAAAACAAATGGACTTTTGTCTTGAAAATGCACATTTTCGGTTGTGAACTGAGGACTTGTCAAGCCACATCGTTCAAGTCAAATTAGAGGCTGTCATATTGTAGGAGACTGGACTGGTTCAGAATTGTACTATGTTGATGTTAAAAGAATTATTCTTTTGTTGTGTGTCCACAAACACCCCTAGAATGTATTTTGTGATTTCCTTGTTGAATTATCTGTATTGGTACATTTTTTTTCTTAGTGCCATTGAAGGTATCATTAATTTACGTTTTTTCCTATGGTGGTCTTTGAACGTCTCTCGAGCCGAATTCATAAGGGAAGGCAAAGATGTCGAAGAGAGGCGTGTTGGTATTCATTTGGGAATTTTAAAGAATTAACAAAGTGTACATTTAAAAGACAACACTGCAGCTCTTTTTGTGTCGGAGCTGCAACAATATGCTTTAGCCAAGTCTTAAAATTGGCAGTTTAAATCCACCTCCAGTCAAGTCGTGTCACTCGAGTCACTCTCCTCTCGTAGAAAAAAAAACAAAACAATCGATGAAAAAAAACCAACATATTCATTTACTACACTTTTATTGTTTCTTGTCAGCCAATGATCAGTTCCAGTTTGATCCCTCACATGTGGCAGCTAAGCTTTAGATGTTCTCTCTAAAGAAAAAAAAAAAACTCCCACACCCGCCATGACAAACGACAGGCAACTAAAGCACGGATGAGGTTCAGTTGGGACACGCTCAGTTGCCGTAAAGGGATGCCACGCTGGATGGAATGCATCTCTCATGCGTTGTGAGAATGTAAGCGCCACGGCATAGAACGGAAAACCAAAAAAAAAAAAAGTTGCGAACTTTCAAGGCAATCATGCATTTGGCAACCCTTTGCGCTCATCTGCTGCATTGAAGTGGTTGGGGGGGGGAAACTGGGAGAAGCACTTTGCGGTGGACGGGTCACGACACAGAAAGCATGGCCACCATCAAAATCCAAACGCAGGTAGAAAAATCAACAAACGACACTCTCTTTCATAACACATGGTAGTAAGAGGAGCTAGGCATGTTGTCCTGTTATGTCATAACAAAAAGTAGCCACATATGAATAAGACAAGTGTTAAGTGGGCGCACAAAGCTAAAGCTCCGTTTCCACTTAGCGGTAAAGGTCAGTTGAGTTCAGCTAAATGCAGCTCACTTTTTTTTTATTTTTTATTTTTAAGCAATATGTTATGTTGCCACGGTAGAGTGGAGCAAGACACAAGTTAGATTTCAGCGATCTGAATAGCTGTGGAATGTTGCGAACTGAATTAGACAGTTTTGCCTGGTATCAGTTTTACATGTAGCGAGTAAAACAAGTGCACCGATACCCATTTTTTCCCCTTTTTTTAAGAGACAGCCAAAAATAAAACTTTTTCCAATTGGCAGTCCTGTTTGCTTTACGTTGGACATATTCTTGACATTCTGACTGTAATACGTGACCAAATATCAGATCTTTTCACAGTAGTATAATCGAAATTGCTACCGAGTATTATTTGATTGATTTTCGCAATCGGAACTGTACAGTGGCCAGCATCCAACCAAACTTTTCATCCATCAAGTTAAAAAAAAAGATTCTGAAGATGTAGCCGAAGCCAAACTGTCCTTTTCCGCTCAGCAATTCGGGTATGCATTTGTGACGTTCCAAAATAAGATTTTTTCGCATCAGTATGATAGTTTGCCTCCACAGGGGGGTGCTTGTGTCCACTGATTGGTTGACAGAGATCGTTCGGATTATGCCGATCTTAAGCGGACCGTGGCGAACCCAACTGTACTGGACTGCTTGGTGGAAACTTTGCATGTCAACAAACAAATAAACCACCAACCGATTTCTATGCGGTTTTTTTTTCTCTTTTTTTCATGATACAGCCAAAGCAAAAACAGTTTGAGCCAACAAACATGGAGATATGGTCAGCGTCTTGCATTAGCTTCAGTCTCAAGCAATCGGCCAATCCAGTTTTCTTCCGAACGCAAAACACGACCGAACGACAAGCTTTACGAGCTATCGGCTCGGTCGATTCCGTCCCAGTTGTTAAAACTGCTAGCTGCTAAAGCGAGTGGCTCTCATCCAAAACAAAGCCTTCGAAGCGCTTGCGTGTCATAAATTCACGTCACTCAAGAGTCACATGCCAGGACCGAAGATGACTTTTCCTGTGTTGATAATAATGTCCGCGCTCGCTCTGCAATCCAAGGCATCTGTTTTTGTGCTTCTCCACTTGGTAGCGTTACAGCAAACAGTTTGTTTGGCAGTGTCAGCATGTTGAGAGCCTTCTCTGCTCGTGGCTGAGGACTCGCTTGATAAACCTCCGTGGCTAGTATCGTTCATCTCAGCCGAAACTTTGCCGACGTTCAAAGAGCAGACGATTTTCTGCAACTCTTAAGTACACTTGAAAGACAAAAGTAGATGGTCAATACACCTACGGGAAGTACAATTTGAAATCAATAAAATAAAAAATGGCCTTTCTTAGTGCACCCGGGAGCCCATTCATCTGGGAACAGAAAAGAGCTTTACCGAATTGTAATTGGAAAAGGGGGCAGCATAGAATTCATTAAAGTACCGCATTTCCTCAAATAGTAGCTTTAACGCTCACAGAAATTGTTCGTCCACTCCAAAAAAAATGAAAACACCAAAACACCACGCCCCCAATAAACGCCCTCCGCCATAAAGCTGAACAACGACCTCCCCATCAAATGTTGCTAAACAGAATTGAGGGGGAAAGAAAGCGAAATATTATACGATATATATTTAATCTGATAAATAGCATTTAAATTACCGAGTATCGCTATTTGAATGTGATTAGAAATATACACATTATTGTTCTAAAGGTTAATTTGTACACTTAAAGCCCTCCTCCGAGTAAATGCCTTACGCCTAATAGAAGCCCGGTACTCTCGGCATCTCTGGCCACTACATAAGGAAATACGGCCTTGACCCGAAGACGTCGGTCAAAAGTTGGGGCGGGTTGAGCTTTGCTTTGACTGTATCCGCTTTAACCGGGGCTCTGCTTCACTTTTGCGACGAAAACAAACGCGGAAACGGAGCTGAAGCGCAGGTAAGAAAGACATGTACAGTGTACAGATACTCGCAAACGCGTGCACTTATCCTTCACAGATTATTGTTGAGCTCAAAAGTATAGGGGGGTGCATCGGGGGATTATTTTGTTTGTATCAAAGAAAAAAAAAAAACAGTTGTCCAAGGACCGATGTGCTTTGAAAGACATCCTTGTGAAAGATAAGTGCAGACATTTACATAAGGCATATTTTCAAAAAGTCGACAGAGCTCCTTTGATACACCTCCAAAGAGGCTTTTGGTGGATAAATACGGGATTGCCCATTTCCGTGTGTTTCCGTCTATTCCCAAAAGAATCTTCCGGAAAAGGGGAAGAGTTGGAATGAGTGGAACCGAACGACGATTGTGGAAAGAGTCCCAAAAAAGTCCTTCTACAAAGTAGGTTGTCAACCGTAAAAGAGGGTCCTTCACGTGGAGATGAAGACAAAAGATGTCGCTACATTCAGAGGTTCAGGCAGAGAATGGCCACCAGGAGCAGGCCGAGGGTGCTGAGAGGCCGGGCGGCCATGACACTTCCTCCTGAGAGAGACACACACAGGTCGGTCGGGTTAGGTCGTGTCAAATTTCAAATCTCAGCTTTCTGAAGTTGGCTATGAAATCTGGAGTGACATTCTGGTCTGGCCTTTGGGAACTCTCTCACAGTGACAAATTATAGCCTCCTGCCAACTTTGAGCCCTTTAGGAGCTAATGTGCAAATGTTTGGACAGCAGTGAACAGTCACACGATTTCAGCTCAGCCCCGAGGATGTCAGATGTTCTCACTGAAAAAACAAATCGCAGTTATGTTACCCGTGATGAAGATTTGGGACACCGCTCCATCGCCACCCTCGGTATACGCTCGGACCTCCACCACGTAGGTCTCGTTTTCAAAGAGGGGGAGTTCAATGTGCCGCCGACTGGTCATGTACAGCGTGCCTGTGGATTGGGCCTGGGGTCTGTACAGCACCTGCACACAAAGCACACGTGCAAAGTTGGCAAATGGAAGTCAGGTCAAGCCAATTTTCATGAACGTGCGCGCTCACTTTGTAACCGTCTACCGGTGCCTCGTTGGCCATCGTCGCCACGTGTTCCCAGGCGACGTTTACCGACTTGCCCTTGAATTTTTTACCGATGATTCTTGGGGCTTAGCAGGCCGAGGGTGCTGAGAGGCCGGGCGGCCATGACACTTCCTCCTGAGAGAGACACACACAGGTCGGTCGGGTTAGGTCGTGTCAAATTTCAAATCTCAGCTTTCTGAAGTTGTCTATGAAATCTGGAGTGACATTCCCATTCTGGCCTTTGGGAATTCTCTCACAGTGAAAAAATTATAGCCTCCCGCCAACTTTGAGCCCTTTAGGAGCTAATGTGCAAATGTTTGGACAGCAGTGAACAGTCACACGATTTCAGCTCAGCCCCGAGGATGTCAGATGTTCTCACTGAAAAAACAAATCGCAGTTATGTTACCCGTGATGAAGATTTGGGACACCGCTCCATCGCCACCCTCGGTATACGCTCGGACCTCCACCACGTAGGTCTCGTTTTCAAAGAGGGGGAGTTCAATGTGCCGCCGACTGGTCATGTACAGCGTGCCTGTGGATTGGGCCTGGGGTCTGTACAGCACCTGCACACAAAGCACACGTGCAAAGTTGGCAAATGGAAGTCAGGTCAAGCCAATTTTCATGAACGTGCGCGCTCACTTTGTAACCGTCTACCGGTGCCTCGTTGGCCATCGTCGCCACGTGTTCCCAGGCGACGTTTACCGACTTGCCCTTGAATTTTTTACCGATGATTCTTGGGGCTTGACTTGGAGCTCGG